GCCATTGGTCGACTGTGAGAACCAACTAATGATGTTTTCCGCAAGATGTAGAATTGACTTTGGTGTGTATGTATTCGTGAGTAAATTCAGTCATCCATGAATTAGATGGGGCGCTAGTTTCATAAATATATCTAATATAATTAACATATGAATAATTAATTAGATTAACAGATATTTTTATGTCGATCAACATTAATAGAAAGTCTGAAAAAAATTATCATTGTTATTATGAAGATCTTTAGTAATACATAATTAAATTCATCATGATGAAAAAAAAAAATAAATAAAATTGTTAAGTTTGCAAGACAGACAACAGCATGTTCCTTATTTTGTTTTACATATAACAAAATACATTTAGTCGTTCATGTTTAAATTGAAGTTTTAACGTACAGCTGACAGGTTATACCTTGAAAAGTTTCTATGAAAATGTAATGAACACGTGTTACAATCAAAAAGTTGATATGTCAGTTATGAAAACCGATGTTTTATTGTTTTTATAATTTTATGTATAAATCAAAAACTATTTCCATTCATTCTTATTGGCTGATATTTTTTTTAAAATGTATAATAATAATATAATGTAATATATAATGGTGTGATAATTAATTAGCAGAGACCATCATAGATACTATATATAAAGTGAGACTATGCTTGAACCGTAAATTTTCGAGCCCTTCGGTTGATTTAGCATTCAGCACTTAAATCAATTCGTACAAGTTTTGGTACTTAAGAGCTTCTGAGTTTGTACAGAGTGCGCTTTGGTTTTGTGAAAAGGGGGTTAAAACAGGAAGAGGCGCAGATGGGCTTGAAGAATCTTTAGGCGTTCATTACAATTATCATAGTCGTTCCAGAACCATTCACTCTCTCTTTTCCATTTTTTCTTGTAAACTATATACTCAACATCTCATAAAAATTATAATAATAATTAATCTGTTGGAATTTAATCCAATTATTATAGTCAATATTTATTGCCAAGTGAACAAGGAATATCTATTTCAATTAATAAAATCAAAACTTTGAATAACCACTATAAAATAATTTTTTTTTAAATTAACATGAGATGATTTCTAGAGATTCACTTCTGATGGTTATTTTTTTAATAGAATTATCTAACTATTGATTAATTTTAATGTTCCATGATGTCCCAAAAGTAAGAATTAACCTAATATCACTTGTATTTAAACTCATCATCATCTTGAACCAAATATCAACATACATTTCGTTAAATTCAATAAAAGATTTTATTGCGAATATTTCCAATTTTTTTTTATTAATCAAATAAATATTTTTACAAATATTAGATACAAATGTTATAAAATGATGAAAAAAGTGTAAAATTGCTGAAGCAGGAATCCAATGTTCAAGTAATAATGAATGTATGTAGGTGGATAGTAGAAGAGTGACGAATCATAATACTAATAAATGAAATAAAGTTCATCAGTAATATAAAAGACCGTAAGTAAAATATTATTTGTGCTAGTGGCGTCTGAGTTGATCCATCTGAGCTATTTAACAGATCTAGTTCGCTTAGGGCTCATTGCTACATTACTAATTTCCGCCCTCAAGCGTGTGTCGTGCGTATAGTCTCCTCTCGAATCAAGACTCTTGATCCTCAGTTGTCATTTAAAGTTCTTCAGCATCTACACAGACTCTCGAAGAGATATAATATGTCCACCTACAAACTAATCTATTAGGCGCCATCTCTCTGACTGTTCACTTACAACACTTCAATTTCCCCTACAATTGCTCGACTACGAGATCCACATACGTTCCCCCTTCGCTTTAAGAACACCGGAAGTTCATGCAGAACACCTACGCATTGTTGACTGTCTCTTAAAAATTTGATTGATTTATACAATTTAACATCCTCATTGGTTCAGAGGTAATACCATTGCAAATTGCTGATTAATTTATTTATTTCATTAAATTCTTTTATTTTATATTATCAAGTGTGAGAATGGTATATTAACTTCTCGCGTCCGGAGTCGTCAATGCCGAGTGTCGGCCGTTAAAATTCATTATTCTCAATTCTCGTAAACAGGCAGATATAAATTATTCAGGCCGAACGCTCTCGAATATGTTGGGATGACCTAAGCGGTCGGATAGCCGCTAACTGCCGGTAAATTAACCAATTGAGGACTTCGAGTATCCGCGGATATCTTATTACACTCTTATGATATAGTCATGATGGATACGACGAAACTGTATGGTTTTTTATTTTTAATTCGTCTCGACATTATCACTTCAATGAATGCTAAATAAAAAATTATATCTATTATTACACATTATCCTTTAATAGTAATTATTATCATTTTTTTCTTTCTTTCGTACTCTCCATCTCTATATCCATGTATTCTGGCCCCTTACACTGTGCTCTGTAGCGTCAACAGACAAACGTACTTGAATAGTTGTGCACACGCGGTGTGTGACACATTTGGACGATTATAACGTCCGTCACGATTATGCGGCGTGTCAGTCCAAGAAACGGTAGACGCAGAACGCATCGGTAGACACACATCACTACCACTTAGTAAAGTTATTTTTTTTTTATGAGACTTTATACTATCTACTTACTTGAAAATTATTTTTTTCATCCATGTATGTACATCAAAAGTGTATTTTTAATCAAAAAATAATTATTACAATAACAATTACCACCAGATCTGTGAGAAATTTATTTCTTATTTTTTCTTCGTCTTGTCATGTCTTTCAAAAGATTCAGCCATGACCTTTTATATTTCTTGCTTATTTTTTACTTCAGTTTCCTCCTTTCTATCACTTTGACAGTCTTACTGAAGTGGGCTGAGAACTAGCAGCAACGTATATATACATATATAGTTTCATAAACTTTTTTATTCTACTTCCTTATTCTGATAACTTTTCTTCATTTGCTATTGTACTATGATCTCAGCATTGATTAACACTCGTGTCCTAAAAAGTGTCATTATTGGAGTGAAATTGATTGTATTGTCATTGGATTAACATGATGTGATTAATATTTCATTTTATTATAAACATATATGCTACTCTCAAAAATAAATAGTTGGATCTACAACCCTGTGTTAATTTCTCATTTTACAGAAAAGAGTTGAGTTCACGAAAAAAAAATAGTCTAATTAAAAATGAGGGTGATAAATATTAGGAATAGGCCTGAAATATAATTGAGGCTGCATAGTTGATAGACAACCATCTTGAAATAAAAATAAATATTGAATATGAAAGAAGATAGTTATAAAGATTGAAAATATTTTGAAAGTAGAGTGAAATGACTTGACGATTGAACGCCATTTGTGTGCATGTCTTAACAGAGTTGATGCTCTTCGTCCCTCGTGCAATTTATTTTAACTTGGGTTTTCCACTCATTAAACGTCTATTACGTATAAATGAATCCTTATACATACAAGCCACCGTCACGTTACGGGGGTGAATCGCATTTCTAGTGTATTTGCTTGTTACTTATTCAAAAGATTTATCGGCGATCTCACTAACAGTAAAAATATTCTGATCCCTCCACCAGATCTGTTCACATTTACCTGGTAAATCGGTTTACACTAATTACGCTCGAGCACATAGACTTTAGATTTACCAGCTTTAAACATGACGCCGTCTTGCATCGCTGCTGAAACCGTCGTGCGTGAGCAACTGCGAGTGCATGATTTTACAGCACAACTTTATACGTGCACGCCAGCTCATTAACGCTTATCAATAATTATGTTTCTATATTTATCACATAAAGGCAATGTCTATATCTCATCATTAGACAACCTTCAGTTTGCTCAGAACCTACTACAGGCCATGGTCTACTTGGTTTCTAACGTGCGTTTATTTTTATGCTATTTCATCAACCGGTAATGAGATTGTATATGAATTTGACATAATAATAATCAACTTTTGTTCCAATTATCATGTGCAAACTACCTTTCCATCAATCCATTTTTTTTTTCTTCACTTTGAAAAACATTTATTTCAAGATAGTCAATTAAATAATTATACATCTTTTTATTCATTCTTGTTTATCATGATAATTATTATAGATGAGTTTAAAAACATTGTAACAAGTGTGTTTGTTGAAGTACTCACCATTTTATTTTCTTAATAATTTATTCTTTATTTAAATAAAAATCCTATTTAATATCGAAGAGTTTACTGGGTAGTCTTAGTTCTTAAGCAAGTAGGAGCTGTTTTGCGTGGTATATTAATTTAATTCTTTGGACACCCGACAGACGAAGCACGAAAGGAGAGAAAAGAGATGGTGGTAAGTCGCACAGTTTGAATATTCATAGGAAAGAGGGAATAGAGATCGAGCGTAATAGAATTTAAATTAAGGTAGAGACTGAAACTGCCCGAGAAGTTCCGTAATGTGATCATGCTTCAGTTTGATCAATATTCATTTTTTTATTGCTATAAATTTTTCGATAATCTTAACTTCTTTATAATTCATTTAAATTACATAAATAAATTATCCCTCAAAAAAGCATTTTTCAGCTTCAATAAATTTAATAAATAAAATGGACCCTACTTTTATCTTCTAATATTTTTGATTCCATACCCCAGTTACTTATTCTATTTAAATACACTTTCCTTAAATTAGTAGAAATGCCTCGACAACTTTTGTCTGCGTCCCATCCGTTCACCTTGTTCTAGACGTCTCTAATCATAATCATCGTTGAGTGTTAATGTTCCCGTTAACTTAGCTGAGGTGTTTAACCTTGTTAACTCATGCTCGCGTATACGGACACCAGTGTCGTGTATTCTCTTATGTGAGGATAAAGTCTATACGAAGTAATCGGCAACACGCATGCGTTCCTCTATATGATTTCTCCTTCGTCTTTCCTTTTTCTAGTCTCTATAGTAAAAGAGTCAGACAAGTTGGTCCCCTCTCATTTTTTCCTGTCACTCTTTTCTTTACTTCGTAAACGTGGAAAAACCTAGACGAGTATAAGTGTGACAAAGAAGAGTGAGATGTTGACGACAATGACCGGTGGGAGCCATCAGCCATGTTAAGGGTTACACCTGATGGATGAGAGACGGATTTCTGCTTCCGTGATCACGGAATCATCGTCTTCCATCGCTTTTACACAAACACTTTCCAATAAACTTAAATAATCATCATCATTATCATCGTCGTTGTCGTATTCATCATCATCGTCATCACCATCCTCGTCGTTCTCGTCCTTATTATCATCAACATAATCATGACTATTGTCATTATCATTATCTAGATGTCTTGTTACCTAGTAAGTTCAATGTGTGTGTTTTTCTCAAGAATATCTCTCGTTAGCTATCGTTGAATTTTTTACAAATTACCTTTCAATTTTTCAAGGTCTTTTATTTTCATGTTTTTGGATTAATTAAATTGATTATTTCACCAAATTACATTACTCTCGATTGAAATAAATTTAATGTTATTAATAATAATTATAATTAAGTATTAATATTTATTAATTTATTCATATGTCTGAAGATTAATACATCTGTCGAGATTACAGTCAATTTAATTTAGATAATATAGTGATTAATATGAGTACATGATCGAATATCCTCTTTATAACAAAAAAAGACATCAATTTCGGTCATCGGATGGACACTGTTCATTAATTAGATGCCTCACCCTATTTATAACAACTGAGAAAATTGGGGAAAAATATAGTGACAAATGGAATAATAAAAAATACAACTTTTTAAAGTTTTCATATAATTCACCTTTTTTTTTTACTATTATGATTTTTTTTATTTGTTTATTAGTTATAAAAATTTATCTAAAAAATTAAAAACTTTAAATATATTTGTTGGCTGAAATTTGAATAATTAACGTCATTCTGTGAAACTTTAAGTTTATTTAATTATTATTGTAATCATGAAACTGTTTCGAAAAACTTCCATTGAAATACTATGTTATGTTTATTCTAAGTCAATTTCAAACTTTATCATTCCGCCATTCAATCATTTATCACAAAGAATTGCTTCTTCTTCATCTCAACATTTGACTTAGCTTACATTTCGTTATAATTCTAACATTCGGTTGTTGAGTTATAGATGTATAATATACTCAGAATAAACAGAAAATGGAGCTGGCCGAGATTCACGAGTGCAGTCTGGCATGTATTTGTTACGGACTGATAACGATTGTTTCCCCTATCTGAAAGTACCAATGCGACATTGCAACCACCATTTGGTTATAGTTGCATCGAGTTGTATGTGAGTAGTATAAGGTATACTTACTAGTGCACATTCGTAAAAGACCCTTATATACGCTTCCATAGATTGTATTCTATTGGTACAACTTCCAAAACTGCAGCTTTAACGAAAGAAAAAAAAAACTGATATCTATGTTTATATATATATATATTTATGCATATATACACTTTTACAAACATTTGTAGTAATATAATGAGAAAAGTTTTGCTTGGTTAAACGTTCTATTGCTTTTGTCGATACTTGGATAAAAAAAAATTGGTATTTACTAAAAATATAAATAAGAGTAATAACTAACGACGACGAGAAATAACAGAATTGATATTTATAGTTGAAGAATTAAAAAGAAATGAAAGTTATTTTTCTTAACATTAGAATAATGATGAAATTAATTGAAATGATTTATTATATTGGTGTAGCAAATATAGAAGTTGTCTGTATTGATTTTTGAGCAGTTAAATAAAATAGTGTAGGTTGAAGGAGATAGAGAAGATCCATGGAAAGTGTAGGTAGCACAGTATTTCGTTTGAGATTGAGTTTGACTCATCTCAAAATGCTTGTAAGGACTATACTATTGGGTACATCGTCTACATCATCCGGATATACAGAGCAGTCCCAATGTTACCGTTCTCCACCCCCTTGCTCACACGTATCTATTTGCCAACACAGATATAAACGCGAATGAGTACGAATACTCCGATACACCAGGACACAGAGCAAGAGTGTTCTTATAGTAGAACTTATTGATCCAACAAAACTCATTTCAAGATACAGTGCGAAGTCTCCAAGATACTGTTCCTACTTCTCTCTTTCTCTCTCTCCCTCTCTTTCTCTCTCTTTGCTGTTTCCCGACTACCCCTACCTCCTCAATGCGACGTAACTGACTAGCCCTCCCTATCATCCTCTCGTGTTTTCACTGTTAGTTCGACGTCCCTATACACTATAACTCTTCTGACTTTTGCATTCCAAAGACCTTCATAGAAATTTATATACACTACTTAATTAATTAATTCATTTATTCCATAATAAATACTGTAATTGTCCCCCTGAGGGCATTTTATACCTAACAAGGTTGCCCAATATATCAAGATTATTTTTTGGATATTAAAAAAAAAAAAACCAACATTCTGTATATCGTCGAGTTCAATGTTTAATAATTAGATATAAATGATATTTGAGGATTTTATAAAAGTTTATTATAATTAGAGTTAAAATATTTTAAATGGTTCAAATTTTGTGGGAATATTTTAACGATATTATTTTGATGTAATTTAAAGAAAAAATTTCTAAGAACAATTTGTCTAATTTATCTTAATCTTTAGGTCTTTCGGAAAAAATATTATACAAGTACCACAAATACAAATAAAAATGTCAAATTGGTAAGTCAAGTTTAAAGAACGGATATTTCATGCATAGTAAGATTTAAGAGAAGTAGCGAGACCAGGAAAAAAGGAAACGATGAAAAATCGAAAAAACAGAGGCAAAAGGAGAAATTATATAAAAGTCGCACGGGGAGCGAAAGGAGAAGGTGGACGAGAGAAGAGGGTAAAACGAGGAATGAGGTGAGTCGCGTAATACGTGAGGCAGAAAGGGGATGATGCGGGGGTGGGAGTTGGAGGTCGAAAAAGGGGTAGAAGGAGCGGAAGGCCGTGAGTGTCGGAGGGAAAAGAGGGAAAGAGAGGAGAATGGCGTTGGTAGGTGGATGGTACGAAGGGTAAAGGGGGAAAGGAGTTGGAGGAGATAGATGTATGTAGGAGGGCCGCTCGATACAGCCCCAGCAAAGCCTCCTCCTCCTCCACCTCTTTTCCCCCCTTTTCTCTTGTCGTCGTCGTCGTCGTCGTCGTCATCCACCTTTCCCGAAGCCAGCCGTCGCATCAAGAGGTTAAAGTGAGAAAAGTCAAACCAACTTGCGACAAAGTATTTCTAATCTCATCGATTCAGCATCCTTTAACTGTAGATAAGCCGTACATCCGTTTATTAAAACACTACTATAGTCAAATAATCTGATTCGATTAATCAAATTACTTAATCGACTTTCTATTGGATTCACACCTCATGCTAATGAAGGTACACCAGTTGGAATATAATACAAATGATGACCGTCAAACAGTCTTTTTCCAATCACCAGTAGTCTATACAGAGATTTGTTCAGCCGTTTTCGTGAGTTGGCTGGCTTTCAAAATTTTCAAACGACGCTACCATGACTTGTCACTTGGCTGGTTATCCAAGTAATTCCATGCCCAGCCACGCGGATACGAGTGCATAAACATGCGAGTGAGCGGCATCCTAGTTAAAGAGGCACCTTTATATCTAGCGAGCCATTTTATCCCCACCTACATGAATATATCGCGCGGCTCACCCCCTTTCTCTATATCTCCCTCGATGTTGCCCTCACATGACGGAACTTAGGGGGAGACTCATGGCGGCGACGCTCAGCGAAAAGGGTGCGGGGTGCTCACGTCAGTTACTCCTTTCTGCTCGGTAGAGGATATTGTGATTTTAGCGTCTGTGTAATTATGGAAATTAGCGACATGGAAAGCCTAGGATAAAAGGGTTGATTATAATCCGGACGAGAGAGAGGGCTCGTCTCTAGGCGCTCCGCGGCTATAGATTAAAACGACTCCTTCCACACTCGCGCCTTTAGCTCTGCTCTTTCCGTCCATCTACTCATCCAACTTCGTTCTCCTCATGGCCATTTCAGGATTACTTGGTGATATTGGGATCGGGTTTCTTCTGCAGAATATGAATTTCTAAACCCAACACTCTTTCACATAAACCTGTCTACTCTCTCACAGACATACCAGACATGCTCTTGTTTAATTTACTAAATTTCTCATCGCAAAAATATCTTCCCTTTTTCATCTAAATATTTATTTAATTGTCATCTTGGGAAATATTCCACCAATTTATTGATTGGAGATTGATGATTGCTGGTAGCATCACTTTTATCATCAGGTATTATTAAAAAAGATCACAGACTATTAATGATAGTGAAAAGAGCTCAGCAAAAGACTCAACCTAAAGAGAAAAAAGGAAATGAGTGAGAGAATGTGAGGATAATTTTTTTTTCTCAACTCAAGACTTTGAGAAGTTACCAACTATTTAATGGGGGGAATTTTAGTCTGACAGTTAACCCGCTCTTACTCGCTGATGCTTCCTGGTCTCTATTCTCTCAGCGTTTTTCCTATCTGGCGATTGGACTGTCGAGTTTGGGCTTGTCCTATGATGTGATCGGATATCGAATATCGGCTCATGCTCTCATTGGTCGTTCTACCGCGCACAGTCGCAGTTCGCGCGCAGTTACGACTGATTTGTTACGTAAAAACGTCGATAGCTTCTATACCACCCCGTCCGCGCCCACAACCACCACCACTAACTCGACTGCCGCCCTCCAGAAACGATTGCTAGAGAGAGGGAAAGAGGATTCCTCTTTTTTTCTTTTTTTTTATCGGTCCCCTGCGCCGGGTTATAACGCTTTATCGAAGAAATGGCCGACTTGTAAAGGACATTTTCGCGCGTCGCAACTAGACACTTTTACATTCTAGTCTATTGGAATTCGTTTTATCTTTTATTGCTTCATCAAACAGTCCCTCATACTTTCATAATTTCACCATTTCTTTATCTTCATATCAATCAATTTCTATCGACAGCTGCTCATCACCAGACAATGATATTTTTCTAAAGTTTTCCTCTTCCAGCACTTCAATAAAATAGCATTGGAGATCATCATTAGGTTGGTCCACCTCTAGCTCGACACTTGGCCAATGTATCTAATGTACTCCAATATCAAGCAAGCAATGGACCAGTTTGAATTGTTGGTAAGAATGTTATACTTTCAGTATAATCGATAATGCACAAATGATAAATAGAAAAAAACATGCTTTTCAACTTAAGTCAAGATATTATAAAACCACTAAATAAGAAAATGTAAGTACTTTGAAAGAACTGAAAATCAAGTGGAAATGTGCACGTTGCGATAGTGCAATATGACGGTATACTTTATTGTCGGGTATTGTGAATGGTTCTCCACCACCTATAA